TTTCATGGAAATCAACTTCATGGAAATCATCCACACGGAACATTTTTAGCAGGGCGGTGGCCTTGATAGCTATCACAGAAACATATATCACGCAATCACAGAACTTTGAGCATTGAATAAATTATCACAGAAATTTGGGCTGATTCAGATCCTACTTAGACTACTCAGAGTGAGTTCGGTCTAAACAATCGGCTGGGGTCCGATAGGACTAGAAGGTGTCAGAAGGACACAAACTTCGACTACAAACTGACCAAAGTTGGACAGAACAATGAATAAACTCAGCTGGTGGTGAGACTAAAGATGATACTGATGGTGAAACCGGTCCAAGGGTTTTGTTCAGACAAACAGGATGTACGAAAATCAACGATCTAAATCAGCAATCTAAATCAGCACATGATAGCAGGATATCACACAGGATAGCAGTCTAAATCCACATTGGATCCTATAGGTAAAACCCTGTTGAAAGATCAGATTTATTTAGTACCAAGAAACAGGAATGAGACCTCGGTAAACTCAAAATGCAGATAGAGCGGAAGGCTCGGAGGAAACTTATGGGGGTTTGACACAATGATTTGGAACAGAATAACAATTAGGAAAAACATGCTTTATGTGATCATGGAAGGCACTGAGTACAAAGTACGAACTGCCTGGTCAGACGGACGCAGGCCTAAGGCTAAGTTGGGTCCATGTGCATGATCAATTATCAGGAAAAATAAAGCTAAAAACAATACTGGGGAAACAGCTCTGCCTTAGGGGCTTCAGGATAACTAAATCTGCAGGCTCAGAAAATCTAAGTACTGAAATTCTACTGAACAAGGTTGCGGCTTGCTTTAGGCCAGCATGTATTGAACTAGGCCCGGAAAGGCTCAGAGATAAGACTAGAAATAACAGAATAATCCTGCAAATGAGAAAAATACACAACCATAATAAAACAAGGAGCACTCAGGGCTCATACAGTCTCATCTGTCAAATAGAGATCAAGTAAACATAGAACATCAGAAAACATAGTGCTTAGCACACCTGGATAATGCTCGCAGCGCATCTCAAAAATAGGAGCTTGACAGTTTGGCCGAGAGAAAACATGGAAACATCTCTTTCTCTGAGTGAGAGCGACAACTAGGTCTAAAGTCTATGTAACAGGAGAAAGAACCAGTTTCTGAGGTCGCCGAGAAGTTCGGTAACCAGCACCAGAAACTAGGTCTCTGCGACAGGTGATCAGATCGGAGAGCCTTCATGCGTTCTCCAGGCCAAAATGAACAAGTTAGATTTGCTAGAAAAACCAACATTCTTGTGCTGGGAAAGAACTGAAAATGATATCCTTAATTTGAGGTTCAAAGAGATCATGGACTTTGGTAGGTCACTTGATTTAGGTATGACTTGGGCAGAATCGCCACGAGGCTAGAAAGCCTAAAAGCTCAAGATAAGGTCAAGATTCACAAGTCAAACTTACCCAAAATGGGGTTCGGAAACTGCGGTTTTAGCAAGATGCGGCTAGCACAGGTCCCAGGCTTCCAGGTTACAGGAGATGCTCAGATGTTGAAGAAAGGTGATGATAAAACTTGGCACCAAAAACTTTCGGTCGGCCGACAAACAGAGGTGAGAGAGAAAAGTGGCCAGGCCGAGGCCTGGTCACGCAAAAAGCTAGGTGCACACGCACCGGACTTGGGACTTTGCACTCGAATGAATCGGACAATAACAGACAAAATGGCTCCCGGAGTCGCTAGGATCTGAGAAGTTCAAGGCGAAACAGACAACCGGAACGGAACTACACCGCTCCTGGTGGGGAAAAGTGAAAGAGAAAACTGGGGTTTCGGCGTCAGCCGCGAGAGAGCGCACCAATGCTGATTCTGATTCTTGCAACTTACCAGATCCTGGGAACTCGGACCAATTGCAGCAAAGTAAAAGTTTAAAAATAGCCCGCGAATTAGTTTACTATTAGGTAGGACTTTATAGGATGGCACACAGTCATTTAAAGTCTTGAAATTTACAGCGGTTTGATGAATATAATTTGTTTAACAATGTTACCTTCTAAATACTATGACCAACTTTTAACAATAGGCGTATCAATAACATTTATTTTTTCAAAATTTGTACTCCATGTAAGCCACAGTTTAATTGATCAAAAATTAGTTTGAGGGTCGAAAAATTGCCTGATTTGGAAGAAGTTCTGTAAAAATTTTTACATCAACCAGAAAAGCACACCTACAAACACAATTGCAGAAGTCTGCTTACTTTTTCTCAGATTTTCAATCAATGTATATATTTTGTAATGTATTCTTTGACCCTCGAACCAGTTATTCAGTTATTGGTAAATCTTCTATGATATTTCTTGAGTGTAAATTGGAAAAAATATGGATAAAATACCGGGGCATCTACATTCAAAATTTTGTCGTTTTATTTGAAAAGTAACATATCTAATAAAATATTTTCATCAAAACTTTGCAAATTTCAAAGTTTAAAATAACTGAGCGAAAAAATGATACGAAATAGACGACTATTCATAATTTGCGCAGGTTTACAAAGATACCTAGTCTATACATTTAGGTCAATTTAAAAAATAACTCTAAGCCTGGTTGCGGAAATAATAATGTATTTTCAGGGCTAGTACCTACTTCTGCTTAATAGCAAATTGTTATTCTGACGAGGTCATTCACTTTACAGGATAATATCACTTGAAATATTTATGTGCTTTTCATCAGATGGTCAGGCAGTTTAATTTCTATGCAAAAACTCAATAACATCTTCTCTAATACCTCTACATTTTTCCCCTGTAGGTAACAGAGGTTACGAAGAAATCTCGAACTTGGAATCGGACTAATGCATGTCCATATTGCAGACCGTTCATTCTCATAACAAATTTCACCAGACACCTCAAAAGGAATCATGCCGGAGAAGATGAAGTACTTGACTTGGCTCGAATTGTCGCTGAATCTGATTCAAAAGAGGACTTGAAAATTAGAAAAAAAAGAAGAACGGAGCTCACTGAAAAGTTAAGACTGAAAGCCAACTATGCTTATAATGTAGCTGTAATGAATAAAGAAGTGGAAGGTTCACTCCTTCCAGTTCGACGATCGAATTGCACCGACTCTGTAATGAATGAAGAAAATCATGCAACATGTGCTTACTGCCAAGGTCTGTTTGCAAGAAACACTCTGTATCTTCATGTGCCAATTTGTAAAATGAATACCTCTAAAGATTTGAATACTTCAGGTACAAAAAGAAGAGTGCTAAGAACAAGTGCAATAATGTTATCGGCTGGGCCTAAGGAGGCTTCGAAGGAGCTGAAAGAATTGGTTTTCCCTCGCTTACAACACGGAGAAGTATCTCTCATTGCTAAGTCGGACCCTCTTATTGTTCAGTTTGCCTCGCGTATGATCAAAAAACATTTTGAAAAAGGCAAGATAAATTACATTAAAAATTGTATGCGAGATCTGGCTAGATTTTTCATTGAGATGAAAAAAATTGATTCCAATTTAAAAAATTTAGAAGCGTGCTTTCAAGTCAAGCAATACAACAATGTCATACTTACTATTCAGTGCATGTGTGGAATCGATTACGACACAAATAAAGTGTCCTCTCCGAGTGTTGCTGCTCGATTGAAAGGTGCTATTGCAAAGTGTATTGATATAATCTATTGTAATGCACTAATGGATCAAACTGATCACGTGGCCATTAAATCTGAGCTAGATCAATTTATGCATTTACTAACTACAAATTGGCAGTATGAGATTTCAGGTCGGACAAACCGGGCGCAAAAGCAAAACAAAATGCATAAAGAAGAAGTCCTTCCTGATAGTCAAGATATTTTGGATGCATGCTTAAAGATTGAAAAACACGAAGTAGATTTGTCCCGAGAACTAATGCGAAATCCTTGTAACTTAGTTTACAAAAATCTAACCAAGCTTGTCATCGCCCACCTGATTATTCTCGGACGCAAGCGTCCTGGAGAAGTGTGCTGTGCTGAGGTAAAAGATTTTAATAATCGCAAGAGTGCTGACAAGGAGAGCAATGAGGAGTACATACAAGTGTTGTCTGAAGAAGAAAGAAAGAGCTATGACGCTCTCCTTTCTTTCCACATTATCGGGAAAGGCACTGAACCTGTTTGTGTGATATTAACCCGTAAAATGGATGACCTTATCAGATTACTAATTCGCTATCGAGAAAAAGTAAGCATCGACCCCGAAAATCCATTATTATTTCCACAGCCGGATTCAGAGTTACTGTACGATGGATCTAAATGCATAGACTACGTAAAGGATCTATGTAAACTTCGAAAACCAGTTCATTTCAATGCTATTGGTCTAAGGCATCACATGGCAACCAAGGTGCAGTTAATGAATAAAGGAGAGCAGTTCACAGAACAAGTTGCCAGACAGTTGGGCCATAGCGTCAATGTGCACAAGAAAAACTATAGACTTCCTCTATCAGTTATTCAACGTGGCATTGTAGGGCATGAGATGCTGAAAATGACGGGAGGTACCTCTGTTGCCTCAGCTCCGACTGGTGAGTCAAAAACCCAAGAATCTGATCGCATTAATCAGTGTGATATGAACAGCGCCAATCTGAATGAGAATGTAGAAACTTCTGAAACTGTCAATGTCAGTAATGTGTCTGCTTCAAAGTCAGATTCAGAGTCTAGCGAGAGTGATAATGATATTGTGAAAATTAAAGAAAGGTTTAGAACTCGTAAGGAAAAAACCAAAAAAGCCTCTCAGGAAAATCAAACTCTGAATCATTCTCTCCCAGCTGAAACATTTACACATTATTCCTCTGAGTCTGAACTTAGCAATTTTTCTGAAGAGCTTGACGTTCAATCAAAAATAAAGACACTGAAAAAAATGAGATCTGATACTAACTCTCTGAGCAAAGTTAAACGAACTCCTTGGACTCATGAAGAGAAAAAAGCTGTATTCCGCCACTTGTCACATTGCATAATTGCTGGTAGTGCAGTTCGACAGACTGACATTCTTAAAGCGCTAAAGGAAGAAGCACTGTGTAATCGTACTGTTGCACAAGTTAGGACTTACCTAAACAATATCAAAACACGCAAGGTTGCATTTCCAGCAGAATACTTAAACCTGTGAAAATCCTTTTGAAAAAGTCAATTTCTGAAGCAATCTTCTATTCTTTATAATCGAAATATTATTATGTGTGCTTTCTCTCAGTTCGGAGGTTACCTCTTTAAAGTGATTCATGGTGATCAAACCACGTGATTTATCAATGGTTATCTACTATATACGAATGGATTTTTTAATTTTTTTTGGTGGATAAACTGGAATCATCAAAACCTGTAGCTGTATCTCAAGAAGATATTTGCAGAATTGAGACGTTTAAATTTACATAATAAGAGTGTTATTACAGTAGAGAGCTCTCTTGCTGCTTGATCTATAATATCGCACTGTGATAGTGCTCTCTAGCAAAATGGATTGGAACATCCCAGCTTTCCAGATATCTTCTTCAGAACTGTTAACAGACCCCAACCATGCTCAGTTTTCAGAAAAAAAAAAAAAGAAAAAAAAAATCTGGTGAATTCCCACTAGTTGATCAACCTCTAAGATAATTAAAATTCCCTTCATAAGTCCCTTTATAAAATTCCACCTACATAAGTTGAATGATTAAAGCTTTTTCACAAAGCTCTTCCTTTCTTAGAGCTAAATATAATTATCTTTGATTTTTCACCTCTTCATTAATGTTTCATATTCTTTTACGTTCAAAGTAATTTTTCTCATATAATGTAGTTTACTTTTTTTTGTTCTGGGCTGGATACTTACTTAGAAGACTGAGAAAAAGTTTCCTTGTTTACCTATTTTTTATTTGTAGTCACTTACATATCCTGTTCATGTTTAATTTTTATCTATGTTAAAGGTTTCTTCTTGTGTTTATTTTTGAGTGTTATTAATAAACAGGGTGTTGGAAAAGTCCCCGCCTCCCCACCCCCCTCCAACTTTTTGAAAGATAAAAGAAAATTCTAGGAGAATGTTTCTATCTGAAAGGGAACCATCTTCTCGCGAGGGAGGCGGAGGGTCAAACTTTTGACCTTGCTCTTTAGGGGAGGGGCCCCAACCTTTTTGTTTTGGTAATTTTTTCCATTTTATTTTTTTCTACTATAGTTGTAACTGGAGTTATGATATCTTATACTATATCTAACTTGGTCAAGAATCAAGTTACCAAGTTGCGGTTCGAGCCAAAATTCCTAGTTTCCAATACTACTCCGTAGTTATTGTTTAAAAAAGAAAAAAAAGGTTGGGGACTCTCCACCCAAGCAGGGCTGGGGCACTTGTTAAGATTTCATTTTCCTCAAGTTTTCTTTTTAAAATTAATGCTTAATGTTTTTTTTTTTTTTTTTTTTTTTTTTTTTTTATATCAGGGTTAAATTATTTGGTCGTTGCTGCTATTTAACATTTAAATTCCTGAGTTTTTTTTGTCTCTGGTGCAAAGTTTTGTGATTTTCTTTTGTGTAATGACAAGCTGGGCTGTCTATGTTTGCAACTTATCTCATCTGTTACTCGCCTTTTCTCACAGAGTTCAGTCATTATTGTATGTTTAAGTTTATTTCACCTATAATAAGTTTTTTCCTGAACTTTATATTTTCCTACTAATGATATTAATATTTATTTCTTTCATTATTTTACTTTCCTTTTTATTCCTAACAAAATTCTACTCTGAAAAGTTACTCAAGAAATATGCAACCGTGCTAGATTGGAGGCCTTTAGTAAGGTTTCTTTTCCCTCAAGTTTTGTTATTAAAACTCATGCTTAAGTTCTTTTCTTTTTTTTGTAATTTTAATCAGGGTTAAATTATTCGGTTGTCTCTGCTATTTGACATTTAAACTCTTGAGCTTTTTCTATCTCTGGCACAAAGTTTTGTGCGTTTATTTTGTTTAATAACTTTGTGCTTTTATTTTGTTTAATAACAAGCTGTCTATGTTTGCAATTTATCTCATTTATGTTACTTACCTTTTCTCACTAAGTTAAGTTATTATTGTATGTTTAAGCTCGTTTTACCTTTAAAAAGTGTTTTCCTGAACTTCATACTTTCCTATTAATTATATTAATAATTATTTCTTTCATTATTTGATTTTTCTTTTTATTCCTAGCAAAATTCTACTCTGAAAAGTTTTCAGGATATATAGAACCGTGCAGGATTGCTGCCATTTTTGATAGGAGAATCTTAATTGACACCTTATTTGTGGCATTCGTCTCCTTTTTCAAAGAACTTTTGAATGAAATATGACTTGGTAATTTCGATTTAGAGGGGTAAGCTACAGGGTTGCCACAGTCCGGAAAAACCGAGAAATGTCAGGGAATTTTAAAAAGTCAGGGAAACCCGGGAAATGTCAGAGAAAATGACGAAAATGTCAAAAATGTCGGGGAGATTTGTTAAATCTCCTTTATTTTCTTTCCCAAATGGGTTTGAGGTCTCGAAACTACAAAGTTTGCCGAAAAACTATTTTCAATTATGTCTTCTTAACAAAAATGTGTCAGGGAAATCAGGGAAATATCAAGGGATTTCATTTTCCAAATTCTGTGGTAACCCTGGGGCTCCCTATCTCAAATGTTCAAATCGGCACCATTTTGGATTGGAGCATCAGATCGACTTTGGGTTAGAGTTAGAATGTTCCTTTTTTTAAAATTAACTTTTGGATCACGTGCAACTACCCACCTCTGCTTCTTTACTTCTTCAAATGAGAGGCTTCCCAAACTATATAAAGGAAATTTGAAGAGCCTGTTTTTTTTTTGTTTTTTTTTTTTAAACGAACTCTGGTTATGAGCCTTTAAAATATGAGGGTTTTTTGGCGACCGTTTTGGTCGAGTCAATTAAATTAAATACGACGACAAATATTTCATTTTGTCAGATAACCCACCCTTCCAGACCTTCACCTGAAAAAATAGTAGTACTCATATGATAACAGATGGAAAATAACTGAAAAAAAATTGAGTGTTAATTAATTTATCAATGAAAATTATTGAAAAATAAAAAAAATGAAAATGAAAACGCATGTAATCATATTCCACGTACTAAATCATACAAAAAAATTAATCCAGATCAACTTACTTTCTGTATATACAGAATTATGCCAATAAATTGATCCGGATCAACTTAAATTTGGTATATAAAAATTTATACAAAAAAATTGATCCGGATCAACTTAATATTTGTATATACAAAATTATACAAAGAAATTGATCCGGATCAACTTATTGCTTTGTATATAAGCGGATCAATTTGTCAATGTGAAAATAACTGGATCAACTTATGTATGGAAATGTTGGTGGATCAACTTGTTCGTGTAAAAAATTTCGGATCAACTAATGCGGTATATCTGAGTTTATATATATATATATATATATATATATATATATATATATATATATATATATATATATATATATATGAGCCGACATCATGGATGTTTTCTATATTTTAGGGCCTCAGTTTGACAAACCGAGGTAGATAAGCTATTTCCTAATAAATATATTCATATTTATACGTGAGCCGACATGGAAGATGTTGCCTATATTTTAGGGGCATTCAAAAAAGCCTAAGTGCAGCCTCAGTTTGACAAACCGAGGCAGTTAGGCTATTTTACAATAAATATATACATATATATTTATGAGCCGACATTATGGATGTTGCCTATATTTTAGGGGCATTCAAAAAAGCCTAAGTGCAGCCTCAGTTTGACAAACCGAGGTAGTTGGGCTATTTTATAATAAATATTTACATATATATTTGTTAGCCGACATAATGGATGTTGCCTAAATTTTAGGGGCATTCTAAAATGCCTAAGTGCAGCCTCAGTTTGACAAACCGAGGTAGTTAGGTTATTTTATAATAAATATATACATATTTATACGTGAGCCGACATGGAAGATGTTGCCTATATTTTAGGGGCATTCAAAAAAGCCTAAGTGCAGCCTCAGTTTGACAAACCGAGGCAGTTAGGCAATTTTATAATAAATATATACATATATATTTATGAGCCGACATTATGGATGTTGCCTATATTTTAGGGGCATTCAAAAAAGCCTATGTGCAGCCTCAGTTTGACAAACCGAGGTAGATAAGCTATTTCCTAATAAATATATTCATATTTATACGTGAGCCGACATGGAAGATGTTGCTTATATTTTAGGGGCATTCAAAAAAGCCTAAGTGCAGCCTCAGTTTGACAAACCGTGGTAGTTAGGCTATTTTATAATAAATATCTTTACTATAGTAAAAAAATATAAGGCCTTTTTTGTGTGTACATCCGTGTCATTTCGCATGCTCATTGGTCTTTCATTAACCAATCAGAAAACTTCATTGGAAATCCCCGGGAAATTTAAATGTATTCTTCCGTAAAGGAATTAATGATAGGTAGATACATGGGATGATAGGTGATACATGGATGATAGGTGATACATGGGATGTATTTCTTCTAATTAGCCAGGATAAAAAGGAGGAATATTACCTATACAGGATAGTCTTGGAAAAACGGGATGTACTTATATTAATAAACCGGGATAACAGGAAGAATATCGATATTTATATATCGATATTCGATACATCGTTTGTTCTAAAGCAGTATTGACTGGAATAAAACGGAATTTCTTCATAATAACCGGGATAAAAGGGAGGGATTTTACCTATACAGGATCGTCAAACCGGGATAACAGGAAGAATATCGATCTTTATATATCGATATTCGATACATCGTTTGTTCTAAAGCAGTATTGACTGGGATAAAACGGGATTTCTTCATAATAACTGGGATAAAAGGGAGGGATTTTACCTATACAGGATCGTCATGGATAAAGCGGGATGTAACTACATTAAGAAACCGGGATAACAGGAAGGATATCGATATTCGATATATCGTTAATCGTTATCGTTAAAGGAATTAATGATAGGTAGACACGTATAAAAATGGGATGGATTTCTTCTAATTAACCAGGATAGAAGGGAGGAATATTACCTATACAGGATAGTCCTGGAAAAACGGGATGTACCTATATTAATAAACCGAGATAAC